TACTGTCGTATCTGTTTCACAAATACTGTAATAAATAAGGTCTATTACATGAATATAAATAAGATTACTTCAACTAATTTCATAAAATGAGATTTTACAGAAAAATATTAATGATCATTAATTCAATTATTTTCAAAGAAATCCACAGCATAAATTAATTAAAGTTTTAATCTACTAAAACGATGTAAAAAACATTACATTTTAAAGAAATTTACAAATTATTAAGAAACTAATGAAAACCGTTACTTTATTAGTAATTAAATTAAAATTATTATTATATATATTATAAGAAAAATAAGATTTAAAAATCCTTTGTGTGTTTCTTTGAAATTTTAGTTCAATTTAATTATTAGTTATCTGTTTCCTTTTTATTTCTTTCGCAAATACTGTAATAAATAGGGCTATATGTATGTAAAAATCAGTGCAGAAATAGGGTGAACACAGCCATTCCCTACGGAAACTAATCCCTTCGAGACCAAGAGGGAGAATGCAATTTCCACTGATCCGAAGAAATAACAGATGCAACTGCAGCAATGCTCGTAATTAACGTATTCACATAATCTAATGTTACATCACAGATGAAAGTGGACAATTTGCTGGGTGCACTGCGAATTACATCGTGCACTCCCGTCACCTAATAAATTCAATTTGCTGTACGCGTCTGGGGAGGTTGTCGGGTATTTGAAGCTCGCTTCAATCTTCTGTCTACTACCGCTCGCACCGAATGCATTTAACATACTTAGGACGCCCTCGCCATTACGGGCCTTCTGATCTAATAAACTCCTACGAGAACAGAATACGAAACGAGATGGCAAAAGAAATAATAACAAAAAGGCTTCGAGAATAATGCTCAGTGACTGATGTAGAGACTATATTGTCTCGCGTTCGTCTGAAGAAGGCCTCATGTTAAATCTCTCCCCTAATCTAAATCGCAATGATAAAAAAAAACAACATTTTTTTAATCGTCTCCCCTACGGAGATGTCCTTTCGATATTTGCACTGATCGATTCAGCACTTCCAAATTCAATTAACGGAATTCCCATTAACTTTGTTAATTGGAACAAGCCTCGTTAGATTTATACTTGAAAGGACGCTTTCAAGTACAATATGAAAATATTAATTCTTGATTAGAATTTAAATTAATTGTTTTCGATTGTATCTAAATAAGTTATATTCAATAAAGTAGACATTACTAAGATTTATTAAATACATTAATCAAATAGGATTTATACTGACTTGGTTATCTGATAATCGGTCATTAAATTCGAATTGAATTATCGGATTGTGCAACTCAAAATTTATGTTTTACATCACATTACCTGCATTATCCCCGATGTAAACGCAACCAACCGTTCGATAATATCAGTTGAACTTGATTTAATTTAGTTTTTTGCTTAATGTATATACACTCGGTCCTCTTTTTATGCGTACTCTTTTTATGCGGTTTTGAAGTTATGCTATTTTAGGCCATTTTGACACGTTTTGAGACAAATTGGCAAAACCATTTAATCGAAAATGATGATAATTCTGAACGAGCATTCAAGTTTCAACGCGAGCTTCAGAATTGCAAAACCAAAGCAAAGTTTAATCACTGATTATATTGTCAAAGGGAAAAAATCAAGATGCGAAGTTGAAACTAATTTTACTTGTGATAAATCATTATCTTCAGGACATAGATTTGATATGCTTGACTATCTCATCTAGTGATGAAAGTGATTTCGAACCAGTTCGCAAATTATGCCGAACACACTCATATAACTCATATAATTCTAAAGAAAAAAAAATGTGATGAAAGATTAACTTTCATACAAATTTTCTGTATTTTTTTTTTGTAAAATTTTTCCGTATAAATTTAGAAGGAATATGTTAAGATTATATTTTTCTGAAATTTAATAAACTTGTCTATGATTGTTAACGATTTTTATAAAATTATGAATAAACATTTCAGAAAGAAATAAGATAGTAAGAGTAATTATTTTTTCTGAAATTTAATAAACCCTTTTTTATGCGATTATCGGTATATTGTAACTCATTGATTTAGTTTTATGCGGTTTTAAAAAATTATGAAACGTATCCTTAATTTTTATACGTGTGTTTAGTCCTTTTTTGTGCGATTTATTTTTATGCGTTTTCCTGTGGAACGTATCTACCGCATAAAAAGAGAACCAAGTGTATATATAACTCCATTTATTATCTTTGATGAACAAAACAATTTAGCAAAGGATAATTCTTTACTTACTAGAAAATTTGATTGAACGTTTGTAACCAATACATATCAATAGTTATTTATGTCGAGGCTAATTGTATTTAGAATAATCATCTTAATCTGAATCATAATAATGAAGTTTAATGTTGAATAAAATTCTGTTGAAACATTAATAAATTGCAGTTATATAAATCTGGAGTAGATTTTCTGTTTACTTGGTAAACAATGCACGTTTCGGTTGGCGTCGAAAGGCTGAATGATAAACTGTAATTAGTATCGACGTGCGAGGGGAATGCATAAAAACGGGGTACACACAAAAAAAATAGTAACGTACAGTCATCGAGGGGGAGAGAAAGACGTGGCGGTGTTATTAAATAGAGAAGCGAAGGGGAAACGAATGTCAGAGAGGAGGCGGCGGTGGCGGCAGCGACGGACAGTCTTGGGTCCGCCCGAGGGGTTGTTGCTGCGTGCACCAACCATTCCACCCTGAAGATCAATAACTGCGTCTGGTTTTCAGCGTTTCACCAACAATCTGGATGTCGGAGTTGTGTGCCGCACGAAACAGCGTTACACACACTACTTTCCTCCATTATGCAGCACAGACACTCGTCATTAAACTTTGCCACCCTTTTTTTCCATCAGATACAGCAAAATCCAAGCCCCAAGTCGGGGGCACAATTAAAACAGAATTACGTATTTCTATCCTTCGATGCATTCTCCTAGTAGACAGTAGACGACTTCGGAGATGTGAGTATGACAATAACTGATGCATAATGAGAAAAGCTTGTAAGCTGGATGAAGTGGAAAGTCACGTTTGGATCGCATGTATTGTGCGAACTGCCTGCCGTCGGTCGGACGTGTGGGGGATGGATTGGAGTTCCTCCTGATCCCTCAAATGGGGGAAACCCATTTCTCATCCAGAAATCCCGATGTTTCACAGCACGAAATGAAATCATTTTAACAGCACTTCCAGACGCAATCTCGACGCGGGAAGAAAGGAAATTTCATTAAATATAATATGGAACATCCTGTTTTTACGTTGTTACTTCAGTACATAAGTTTTTATATTCGTTTTGTTTTCTCTTCTTTTTATGGTCGGAGCAATTACAGCCAACCTTTATTAACTAGGTGCTCTCAACTACCTTTATTCTTTACCAACTTCACTGTAATATCCATTATTTATATACTTGTAAATATTTAAAACTCTCATCTACTTAATTTAGAAGATTTAATAGTCTACTACAGATTATAGTAAATATTCAAGTTTAGATGATTAATACAAGCACAATAATTATATAATTATGAAATATCATTATGATAGTGCTTTCACGCAGACTTGCATTGTTTTTTTTTTGGATTTGATAAGTGTTACTGTCAAGTATACTAATTGTAAGTGTAATAATGTAATGGGATGTCCAAGTGTATCTAATTCAGTGGTTTCCAAACTTGATGTTACTATGCCTCCCTCAAAAGTATGTATTCATTTGGCGCCTCCCCACACCCCTCCATTTCATAAAAGGAACGCGTATTACAGCAATATGGATAAGAGCACAGGAATCTTTCTATACTGGCTGGATTCCCCAAACATTCAGCTTTCATATGCATATACTGGATTCATTCT